ATCTTATATCTGTTCTATATCATATCGCTATCCCTCTCTCTCTCTCTATCTCTATCTAGATCTCTATCTATACTATCTCTCTCTCTCTCTCTCTCTCGCTCTCTCTCTCTCTCTCTCTCTCTCTCTCTTATATCCTCCTCTCTGTCTCCCTCTTCTTCCCCTTCTCTTCTCTGTCTCCCTCTCTCTTTCCTCATTGGGTTCACTTGTTCCTGTGAAGGATTTATATCCGTGATTTGGCTCAGTTTACTGTACCGACTGCCTGCTGAAAAGAATATGGGATTTTAGTGTTATTAACGATTTCACTTTTCCATTCAGTGATGCATTTCTCATAATCATAATAGGATTTATGTGCATTATAAACAGTGGAATAAATGGCTTTTCACTCAAACAGTTCTGCATTTGATTGTGTTTGATCACCTTCTCCTGTTTGTTATAGGGGAAGAGCTTCTATAAATTGCAGGTAAGGCAGTGTTTAGTAGCCATTGCTTGTAACAATTGTATTCCCATTGTATTGTGGGCCATAAACCCAGGAGGTCAAGCATCCACAGAGGATTTGTAATCAAGTAAGGTTAATTAAGGAGGTTAGAGCTACTAAACGACTCTAACCCCAAGGTGTTGTTATAGGTTCTGTGTATGTACTCCATTGCAATGCAGGTTGGAGTGCACATGTCTTTGGGAAGAGTGAGTGTGGATGGGGGTGAGAAGTGTAACTCCATGAGTTTTACAACTCACTGATACTTCATATCCTCTCCACCCTCCTCGGGTCAGATTCTCAGCGGCAGGCTTTAAGCTTCTAATGGCCGACAGACTCCTCTGGTCTCACTACCTATTCCTCAAATAGACAAACCGATCAGACGCTGAGTGCCTAAGACCCTATACATTCCCTCCTGTGTCTTTACTCGGAAATAGGCCTCTTTATTTATCACCATTTTCCTGTGCATCTTATCAAATGAGAGGCTTGACTAAGGGGCTGAGACTGGCCCACTGGTCTAGGTCATAAATGTGTCAGCGACATGGCAGGCTGCTTTGACCAGCAGAGCAGTGGAGCAGCTAAGGGCTTATCAGGATGGAATCACCCACCAGCACTTTACAAGCTCAACACACCAACCACACACACTGGTCACACCATAACATCACCTAGGACTTTAATTAATGCTTTTGGTGCATTTAATAAGGTCACTATTATATATAAAGGGATGTAATATAATATATAATTATTGATATAATTAGAATGGTTGAGTGTGATGAAAATAAGATGGAGATCAGGTTTGAATTTGTGTAAGCTCTGAACAGCATCCGTATCAGCTGAAGGGTTTGCATAGCAGACGTTGGGATGAGGAGGGGTTCATATTTATCTGTGGATATGTGTTATGCTCACATCTCTGGACACAGTGCAATGGCTTTTGTATTCTGAAAAAGGACAAGAAAGTATTATGAAAGAGTGGATTTCAAAGATGTAGGAAAATGGGGCATTTATTTGGAGACATCAAATGTACACTATATTGTTTGGTTTGTTTGGGTCAACTGACATAGAGGAGAACCCCTCCGAGATGTCTCTCTGATCTGAGCCTAAAGCCTCTCTTCTCTTTGTCAACAGTCACTCAGGATCTTCCGAGTTATGGATCAGAGGCTTTAAGGTGTTTGCATTTTCTTCCCTCCTTTAATGTGTTACATATACTGTACATCTCATGACTGCTAAACTAGATGACTAGTGCATCTGAAGTCCATAGATAGTCATGCAAACATGTTCATTTCCTTTTATGATGAAGGTAAACCTCATGAACAATGACTTCTTAGATAACACAAAAGGCTATTTATGCAGTGTGTAATGTACTGTAAAGTTGGCCTACGATAGTACACTACACTGATATCAACCGCATCCAATTCCATTCAACCCTATCCTCCTAGAAAGTCCCACATTTGTCTAAAGGAATGTACTAAGTGGAGTGTTTTAATACAGCCTCTATTGTGATGATCTTAAGTGGACTGCACTAAAGTTACAAAAAACAGCCACCTCTCTTCAAAGGTTGTGGAGCTGGGCCATGGAGCAGAAATCTGGGACAGAGATTAACCACTGTCACTCTTGAGATATAGCGGGGGTTTTTACATGAGTAATAGAGTGGAGAGTCAAGCTGATTTACACAACACTGGGGCCAAGCGAATAGTTAAAGAAGAGGATCTCCACAACAATATTCCCTCAACGTGATAAAACACCATCAGATACATTTAGGTGACATCCGCAAAGCTGATGTTTTGATGGTGTCAGAGGTGGAACTGCATTAGAGCTGGTCAAATCCACAAGCGCATTATACTTAAAGTGAACATGACCATTGGCTGCACGGAGTCGCATTAAGAGAAATTACGTACTGGAATGTGAGATGTAATCGACACCTCGATTGATAGAAATCCTCTTTATTTAGTTGATTGATTTTTCAATTTGAGTGTAATAGAGCTCGCCACCTTGTAGTCCTAACAAACGGAAGTAAGTTACCTCTGGTTCATTCAGCCATTCCTATGGAGAAAATTTATAGGGAAAGAATAGGGTTTTGGGATGAACTCCAAAAATAAGGTCTGAGGTTAACACAGGCTTAGGAAATCATATATGTTTTGTTCTATGAGATAATATCAGTCTGTTAACATAACCTTTGTGAATTATGAAGCCTTTATGTGCTTTTTTTTATTGCATAAATGCTTCAAAATTCACAAAAGGTGATGTTAGCTGAGGAAGATTATCTCATAGAACAAAAAGTATAAGATCTCCTAAGCCTGTGTTTACCACAGACCTTATTTTCGGCGTTTATCCAAAAATGCCATTCATTTCCCAATGGGCTTTGTCCAACGAACAATGTCGGAGTTAGTGCCTACAAAAAGACGCCATTACTATTTCTCTCTATTATTTCTATGTAGCCTACACTTTCTCATTCTGAACCTCTAACGTGAGTGGGGCAGATGTGGCTTCGTGACAATGATCGCAAGAGCAGCTGCTCACCGATTTGATGTCTCCAACCCAGTTCCACCTCCACCCCCAACATCAAAACATCAGCTATGCGGCAGTCTGCTATTGCTGGTTAACGCTTGATCTGATTGAATCTAGGCCATAATGCAGTGGTATTCAAAGTGTTAGTGGGGTTGTGGGGGAACTGCAGTGGGGTTGCCAAAAAACAACAAAAAAACAATATATATATTTCGGAAACAAGAAATGAAGAGTACAGATTATTGTATGGAACAGTATACAAACGTTTTTGAGAAAGGTAATTTGAAAATAAAAAAATTATTGAGTAAATGTATTATTAAATGTATTTACTGGTTTCATTTTGATAAGAAATGAAAATGCAATTATTAAAGGTTATTTGTTGATGTAAAAATCGAAATATTTTAAGGTTGTGTGATTACATTTGAGGTGGGGTGAGGTCACGAGAAATTATTGGTGTAAAAAAATGGGGTCCCCAGAAATTCTGGCGGAAGAAATGCGGTCCCCGCTGATAAAGTTTGAATTCCACTGCCTTAATGTTTTATAACTAACTGTAGTTCATTTTGAAATTGTACCAAGCTTTTTTGTTTGTTGTTTGCACAGAGTGTATTTATGTGGATGTCGAATGATAAAAAAATCACAACTTAAAGTGGATATTTTTTTCTTGTTTGAAAACAACAATAGTAGATTAAAAGTGTATTTTTTCTAAGTGCAGGGAGAGTGCATAGCTTAATTAAGATAAATAGTCCTGAGCAACAGTGAGTTTGAGAGAAAACACGTTTATGTTTATCTGCGTCTCCTGTTTCACTCAGAAGCCAAGGAATTTGAAAAGAATCTGCGCAGAGATAAAGAAAGCAGCGGATGTTAGCTACAGTCAAATAGTTCTGTTTTGTTATCATAACTATTTTTATTCTGAGACCAGGCCAGTATGATCCTCCTCTGGTAACTCGTGTCAGGTGACTTACAAGGGGTCACGACCTGGTCAGGTTACGGTCTGGTCAGTGGGTCTCAGGAGCGCGGTTGATCAGCCCTGTTAGTGAAGGCGAAAGTAACTCAACACTGGCCCCTGAGCCAACACAGCTGCCCAGGCAGTCTGCACACTGCGAGAGGGCTTTAATACAGAACTCAATGGGAAAAATAACAACAACAACAACAGAATCAGTATATATACTGTATAAAAACAGTAAGAACAATACAGTTTAAACGGATGGGAACAGATCTTAATGTACTTATAATACACTTCAGAGTAAAAAAAACAGATAAGTGATTTATGATATACACACTTTAAAAAAGCATTTCCTGGATCATTCGAAGTAGGTCTAGTCTAAACTATAATAGTTAAGTCACATTTTTCCACGGCAAGGATATTTTAGAAAATGCAATCCACGGTCCAGTATTATTATTTATATCATTTAATATCACAACTTCTTGGCCACATTGCCAGTGTGCCCGATACATCTTTTTTTAAACTCACAGCCCCAAAATCCACTGTCAAAGTGAAACAATATTTACAGACAACAACACAGACAAAAGCGGATATACTGTAGCTTTATGTTTCAACTACCTGGTGCAGATCAAATCAGAAGTACAGGGAAGTGGACTGAACGATAGTGACAATGAAGATACTGTTGGACCAATGTCAAAAATATCAGTCTTTCCAGAAATCATTCCAGAGAAAGATTTTAATTCACAAAAGTATGATCAAATAAATTAGTCTGTAATACTTCAACTGAGAAATGGGCACAAAAGTTATACACATCTATACAACACCAACAAGAGACAGAAACTATTTGGTTTCCTCATTAAATATGTCTTACTAAAATAACCAGAGCTTATGAACAGAGGACTGTCCCTAGGTGGCGCTGTTTGAAGAACTGTCCGTTGGTGAGGCTGTACAGTAACATGCAGATGAACAAGATTGTCGGCCTCCTGCTCTGCTGCGGCTCCCCAGTGTGAGCTGGAGGATTCAGTCTCATTTAGGGAGGGTGTTTGAGAGCAGTGACGCCAGCGAGGCTGGCTGAGATCTGGCTCAGATGGCCAGCTGGAGCTTGGTCAGGTTCCTCTGGTGCATGTTGTGGTGACGAACCAGCTCATCGGACCTGGCAAACTTCTTCTGACAGTTGGGCCATCTGCAGTTAAATGGCTTCTCACCTAGGAGAGTGAGAGGGAGAGAGAGTGCTGTTAGGGAGTATCTGGTTTAAACCTAACTGAAGGGGAGGAAGAGATGAATGAATTGCCTATTATCATTTTAGATCACTTTCAATAACAGGTCACTGACTTAACCTATTTTCATCGAGTATGATAACATACTGTAGATTAGTTGAAATACTATACCACCAAAGCCTTGAGATCTACCGACCGACTGTTCATGAAAAAGTGAAGTAACTAGCTAAGTAATAAGCAGATAAGAGATAAGTGGAGGTGGAAAAATAAAAGTTTACGCACTTGTTTTACCTGTATGAGTCCGGGTGTGGGTCTTAAGGTGGTCAGACCGTGAGAACTTTCTCTGACATGTCTCGCACTGGAACGGTTTAACCCCTAGGCACACACACACACACACACACACAGAGAGAGAGACAGAGTAGAGCAGAGGCCAGGAGAGAAGCCGTTCCAAAGGGAGACCGAGCTATAGCGTTCTATTTACAATACAGAGGGCAGAGAGATGGAGGGAGCTTGAGTAGAGAAGATGAAAAGAGAGAGAAGGAATGAGAAAAAGAAACAGTGGGATAGAGAGAGGGCAAACCTGTGTGTCGCCGCTGGTGTCTCTTCAGCTGGTCTGACCTGGAGAACCTTCGTCCACAGTCGGTAAAGTCACACTGGTAGGGCTTCTCACCTGGAGAGAGGGCACAGGGTAACACAGAGAGGGCTTTGGTACAGCAAGACCTGGATCACTGATACACTGGTTTGTTAGTCTAATGAGCTTGATCTATGGTTACCCTGGCTCTTACCTGTGTGTTTCCTGCTGTGCATCTGTAGGTGGGACAGCTTGAAGTATCGTTTGTTGCAGCCAGGATATGTACACATGAACGGCCTCTTCTCACTGGTCTCTGAGCGAACAATGGTGGGGGCGATACCTGGCACCCGTCGGACATCCTGTTGACGGGGTGCATGCACACACACACACACACACACACACACACACACACACACACACACACACACACACACACACACACACACGCACACACACACACGCACACACACACACACACACACACACACACACACACACACACACACACACACACACACACACACACACACACACACACACACACACACACACACACACAGTGAGCGATGGTACAGGTTTAGAACCATGACAATCATACAAAGAGATAACAGTAACTAAGCTATCCACTAGCCTAATCCAGCAAAAGGTAACTCTAAAATAATAACCCATTTTAAAAAAGGCAAAAGAAGTGTGATTATTTCACTAAGGGGGGCTTCATTATACTGGAATTAGCCGTAAAATGATTGGTCAAATTTACTCCATGCCACTGATTTACTCTCTAAAGCCATTAGTCATGGACGTTAGGCAGACCCCATCTCAGTTGTCCGTGCCCCCCTGTGCTCCCCTCTCTTCCCCCTCCCTCCCTCCCTGTCAGACCCTGATACCCATCTGCTGTTCATTAGCAGGCGCTTAGTGTAATGGGCTCTGTGGGCACCGGCGCTCTAATAAATAGTGTTAGCAGCCTATTGATAAGTAAATTACTTCAGTGTTTTATGGCACTACCGTATGCCTGCCTTGTCCGTTATCTAGATTCCCCACTTCATGGAGAGGGCAACTCAACGTTGGGATTGTCAAATAAAAGGCTTTCTGAGCACCAAGTGTCCACGTACAACTTGAACATGACTTTCAAAAAATCTACACTGAGTATACCAAACATTAGGAACACCATATTTTGCCCTCAGAACAGCCTCAATTCATTAGGGTATGGACTCTACAAGAATTCCACAGGGATGCTAGCCCATGTTGACTCCAATGCTTCCCACAGTTGTGTCAAGTTGGCGGGTTGGCCTTTGGGTGGTGGACCATTCTTGATACACACAGGAAACTATTGAGCTGTTGCCCATTTACCCTCTGAATGGCACACATACACAATCCATGTCTCAATTGTCTCAAGGCTTAAAAATCCCTTTTTAACCTGTCTCCTCCCCTTCATCTATACTGATTGAAGTGGATTTAACAAGTGACATCAATAAGGAATCATAGCTTTCACCTGGATTCACCTGGTCACTCTATGTCATGGAAAGAGAAGGTGTTCTTAATGTTTTGTCTACTCAGTGTACTTTTGCATACTTATGTGATTAAGTAGACTTATGTGATTCATTTTGTGAATGAGGTTTTCCTGAATTAATTTCACTTGAGAACAATGAGAAGGGATAAAGAGAGGGCCGGAGTACCAAAAGTCAAATTTTCAATGAGAATAGGTCTGGAGAATGTCTGTTCTCTGTGCTTTAAAGCTGTTGACTGACATTAATTAAGATCTAATGATTTATTAACATGGGCCTGCGTATGGAAACTGTATCTTTATTGCTAATGGATTTCTTGAAAGTGATTCCTCTTCCCTTTTCATCCTGAGATGCCTTTTAAATGTCTCAACTGTTCTGGCAGAGGCCTGCTTCCCCTCGCATAGTCTGCTCATTGCGTCAGGCTCTTTTCTCCCCTCTCTCTCTCTCTCTGCGGCTGAGAGAGAGAAGCAGCGACGCCGACGCCGTCGGCTCGCGCCTCGACGAAGGGGGCTCGGAGTAGCGATGGAGAGCTCGAAGAGCGTCTCTGCATCTTGCTCTCTATCTCAGCGTCTCTCTATTTCACTCTCTCTCTCCTCCTACCTCTCTCTCTCTCTCTCTCTCCCTCCTGTACTGCATCTCTCCAGCCCACCTCCTCCTCTTCTGCCACCTCCGACCTTGTGCTGGCATTTAGGGAGTGTGTGTTTGTGTGTGTGTGTGTGTGTGTGTGTGTGTGTGTGTGTTCTTGCGAGAGAGTGTGTGTCTGTGCTCCATATCTCGACCTTGGCCCTGATCACATAAGGAAAGATGTGTATGGAGAGAGGAATCAGAGTGTGTGACCTGGGTGTGAACTCAGAAGCCGTGAGAGGAGAGAACTGACCTGTATGCCTCTGAATACGCCATGGGTGTGGATGCGGTACTGGGTGCTGCAGCTATACACCATGGGAGTGTTGGGGTCACTCTCATAGCCCGAAGCATGGCTGTCCACAGAGAGAAAGACAAAACAGCATTTTTAGTGAGGAAATATGTGACCCTTTCCTATTTTGTCTGCCAAATTACAATTCACATAAAAGCTGTTCAAGAGCATTCAGCAGTTTTAGGAGCGATGAAAAGTCAGGAAATTGTAGGATGTTGTGTAGGATGAATGGCTATTATCTTCACGCCATTAAATGTACTGTAAAATGTTGCCGTAAACGGTCACTCCTGAAATATAGTTGTTGAAAAGGGTCTCCCACTACTAAATAGAGGTTGGCGTTTAAGCGTTCTCCACTTATCTACAGTGCCTTTGGAAAGTACTCAGACCCCTTGACTTGACTTTTTCCATATTTTGTTACATTACAGCTTTATTCTTAAATGTATTAAATAGTTTTTTCCCCTCATCAATCTACACACAATACCCCATAATGACAAAGCAAAAAGAGGTTTTTAGACATTTCTGCAAAAAAAACACGGAAATATCACATTTACATAAGTATTCAGACCCTTTACTCAGTACTTTGTTGAAGCACCTTTGGCAGAGATTACAGCATCGAGTCTTCTGGGGTATGACGGTACATGCTTGGCACACCTGTATTTAGGGAGTTTCTCCCATTCTTCTCTGCAGATCCTCTCAAGCTCTGTCAGGGTGGATGGGGAGCGTTGCTGCACAGCTATTTTCAAATTTCTCCAGAGATGTTCGATCGGGTTCAAGTCTGGGTTCTGGCTGGGCTACTCAAGGACATTCAGAGACTTGTCCCGAAGCCTCTCCTGCGTTGTCTTGGCTGTTTGCTTAGGGTCATTGTCCTGTTGGAAGGTGAACCTTCTCCGCCAGTCTGAGGTACTGAGCGCTCTGGAGCAGGTTTTCATCAAGGATCTCTCTGTACTTAGCTCCATTCTTTTTTCCCTCGATCCTGACTAGTCTCCCAGTTCCTGTCGCTGAAAAACATCCCCACAGAATGATGCTGCCACCACCATGCTTCACCGTAGGGATGGTGCCAGGTTTCCTCCAGACGTGACGCTTGGCATTCAGGCCAAATAGTTAAATCTTAGTTTCATCAGACCAGAGAATCTTGTTTCTCAAGGTCTGAGAATCTTTAGGTGCCTTTTGGCAAACTCCAAGCGGGCTGTCATGTGCCTTTTACTGAGGAGTGGCTTCCATCTGGCCATTCTACCATAAAGGCCTGATTGGTAGAGTGATGCAGAGATGGTTGTCCTTCTGGTTCTCCCATCTCCACAGAGGAACTCTAGAGCTCTGTCAGAGTGACCATCAGGTTCTTGGTCACCTCCCTGACCAAGGCCCTTCACCCCCAATTGCTCAGTTTGGCCGGGCGGCCAGCTCTAGGAAGAGTCTTGGTGGTTTCAAACATCTTCCATTTAAGAATCATGGAGGCCATTGTGTTCTTGGGGACCTTCAATGATGCAGAAATTTTTTGGTACCCTTCCCCAGATCTGTGCCTCGACACGATCCTGTCTTGGAGCTCTACGGACAATTCCTTCGACCTCATGGCTTGGTTTTTGCTCTGACATGCACTGTCAACTGTGGGACCTTATATAGACAGGTGTGTGCCTTTCCAAATCATGTCCAATCAATTGAATTTACCACAGGTGGACTCCAATCAAGTTGTAGAAACATCTCAAGGATGATCAATGGAAACAGGCTCAATTTCGAGTCTCATAGCAAAGGGGCTGAATACTTATGTATAAGGTATTTCTGTTTTGTTTTTTATAAATGTGCAAACATTTCTATAAACCTGTTTTCGCTTTGTCATTATGGGGTATTGTGTGTAGATTGCTGAGGATTATTATTTTTTAAATCCATTTTAGAATAAGGCTGTAACGTAACAAAATGTGGAAAAAGTCAAGGGGTCTGAATACTTTCCGAAGGCATTGTATGTAAGCCAGTTCAGCAACGTTGCATTGGCATTGTATTTCAACAGCATGCACAGCAGGTAAAAGCTCCCAATAAATAAATGCAAAGAAATCACCAGCTATAACTTGTCTTGACATAGGGGCAAATTGCTCAACGGGTCACAGCGCAGTATATTCACCTAAAGCATCCAAAGTGGAACTCGGAGGAAAGACTAATGGTTAACTTCCTGTCATTCCCAGATTTATTCATATGGCTAGGCGGTAAACTGGCCTCTCTGTCTAACCCTGGATTAACACACGATCAAGCTGCGTACTACCTTAGTTTTCTTCCATAAATAAGGCCTGTTTTAGTAAGACGACCTGCCAAACCTTGTTGTCACCCACAAACTGCTCTCAATCAAATAGGCGTACAGGATAAGGACATAGCACAAAAAGACAATGATCCATTGTAGTATATGCAGAAATATGAAACATAGTTCAGGTATTGTATGCTATCCAGCCATTGTGTACTAACCTACTTAATTTATGAGATTAAAAATAATTAAATTTAGAAATGGCAATTTTTGCTGAAAACTTATTAACACCTCAAAAGATGAAGGTAGCCTCCAAAAGTATTCATTAAAGTTGGTTCAGTTACATACACTGTAGCTACAGCATTTCAAGACAGCTAAGGGTCACATCTAGTTTCATAATAACCAGATGGCAATACCGTTATATTACTAGTCTTACAAGTCTGTAATTTTTGTATTTCATGGAAGGAGGGGGTTGTATCCTGTACAGTTAAATTATGAATGCATGGTTGAGAGGGCATAAAGCTGTTCTTGTCTCTACTCTTCCAAGGATAGCCGGAGTCGGGACAGTGCAAGCTGCACACTGCAATAAATCTCCCCACAGTTCATTCATTCACTCATTCATTGTGGAGCTAAACACCTCACGTTAATGTATGCAGCCAGGGCCTGGGGAGAGAGACAGGGCTGGGGAGGGAGACGGGGGAGTGGTGGCGTTTATCTGGAAGAGGCACATGCATACTTTGGCGTGAGTCCCTGGAGATGAGACTCCAAGTCTGATTTTCCGCAGCCTAAGCACCACAGTCCCTCTCATTTAGCAGCAGATTAATCATTCAGTCACCCCGGCCTTTGCTGGCTTTTTGGGGGAGGTGGTGGAAGGGTCAGATCCTCCCCTCCAGTCTAACTGAGCCCTGGCTCTGGATCCCTGGCTGGAGTATCCCAGGGGGAAACTGTCCCATTGTGTACTGATCCACTTCCACTACTCCCCAGTGCAGAGCCCTTCCCCTCCATTACATGTCCCACTGTGGTCAAGGCTGATGCCCCACACAGGAAAATTATAGCAGGATACATTTCACAGGACAGACAAAACAGAGAGGCTAATTTAACATGCACATGATCCCCGGTGAAAACAGACAGAAACAGAGAGGGGGTTCGGGAGGAGTTGGAAAGGGAGTTAGAAAAAGAGGGCCACTGAAAATTACAAGAAAGCAAGAATGAAAGAGGATATTTTCATTACAGCACTAAAGCAAGAGAAAAAGTGATGTTTCCCCCTCAACTAGAAATAGCCCTCTGAAACGATCCTAGACTCACAATCATGGCTTGTCACCAGAGTCCTTTAACATATCAGGGTCACACACAGGCATGGAAAACATCCTAAATCACCGTTACAGGCAAAACCTAACTTTCTAAGATAAAAGAAAAAACAACCCGTATGTGACATCTGTGCCATACATTCCAGCTGAGATGCCATTTGAAATAAATAATCACTGCTGGGATTTTTTTTTTTAAAGAACAAAAAAAAGAAGAGTGGAATTTTTCCTCGGGCGAGGACGTCCAGTGGTGGCACCACTGTTTTCAGTGTAGACAAGCACCACAAGAGAGTCAGAGGATTATACAATTTGGCCCCATCTATACAATTTAATCCTGAGTAACAGCTCATGAATATGCCTCACAATGAGGATCCTCCCACACTAACACCAACTGGGTGATGTGTTAATTATAGCCCTCCATCACTCAGACCCAAATAGCCATCCGTTATTAAGTGTCAGACTCCAGGACCATTAGTTAACCTACCAGGTGATTTTCCAAACACATACTTTAGATTTATTGGGACAGTAACCGAAAGGTCGCTAATTCAAATCCCAGAGCTGACTAGGTGAAAAATATGTTGATGTGCCCTTGAGCAAGGCACTTAACCCTAATTGCTCCTGTAAGTCGCTCTGGAAAAGAGGGTCCGCTAAATGACTAAAATGTAAATGTAAATCACTGCCGACCCTGACATCACGTATGTTTATCATACTACATGAACAGCTCACTGCGCTGGGAGGCTCTGGTGCCTGGTACCCTGCACATTGACTGTAACGGCCTACACTCTGTTTGATGCTTACAGTATCTACATACAGTAGGGGAGAGTGGGATATGTTGAGCCTTTTTTACATTCAGCATCACTCGGTCAAGGGGTATATGGTATTCGTTCTAACAAAGATATCTACACATATTTCAGGATGTTGTGTATCCCTAGAAATAATCAAAATTCATGTAAACATAACAGTTTTCATAATATAGCTTGTCCCAAAAAAAGTGGTCTCTTGGCACAATTTACGGGGTCAATTGAGCATAGGGCCAGGATAAGCATAGAGACATGCATATTATCCATAAAACTGACAAAATGTCATCATCATTTGTATGGGGTATATTGATTAGCCATTGGCTCAACTTGCCCCTTGCCAAATGGCACAATTTACCCCAAAGCAACCATTTTTACTATATTAGCCCAAACAGCTACAAGGATGCACGTTAATGCTAGGTTTAAGACCTCATATTGTAGCTTACGAAGACCCAACAGTCTTAAAATGATCTACTTTGGTTTAGATACAAGCATCATGAAACCTATAACACAATAACTTAATTGTTTTTTGGACCTAATTTGCTTACCACTTTTCCATGTGGTTTATTCCTTCACAGACTCCATGAAATGATGACATCTTCCTAAATATTTGGTCACATGATTCATTTTGTGTATGGTTTTCTAGAAACAAGTGGTGGCTCAACGTAACCCAGTAGAATAGGACTTTTTAGGCTGTAGTCTTTTAGTTCAAATCAATTCAGCAATTTGGATGACAGAAAGTGTCACAGTTCTGCCCTGAGGGTTAAAGGATGAAGAAGGGTGTGTCCATTATTAGTACACTGTCAACTTTCTCTAAACCATTACTGTACATGGTAGGTCAAATCCTCTATGACAAGCTCTATACATACCTGAGCCTTTCATGTCTTGATAAAATAACTAAATGTTTGGGTATTTTGGTTTAAGTTTTTTTTTTTTGGGACACCAGTCTTCATCCTCTACACCAGCGCTTCCCAAATAAAAAAAATTCCTGGCTCCCTGGCTCTTAGCTTGATAAGTGGACTTATTTTAATTGAATGTACTTCCAAATCATTAAAAAGTGCATAACTGCAGTCTCACTGTATAAATACAGCGCTGTTGGTACCAGGCATTTGATTAGAGAGCAGCTTAGCAGTTTGATTTGAGGATTCCCAGCCCCTTCCCTTCCCCAAAAGATATCAGCCAGATATCAGGAGGAGCAGAACTTGAAGAATGGGCATCCAGCCCATGTATCCAGTCTGACTAACACACTCCCACTATCTACTATTCTCTTATTTTGTATCTTTATGTTCCCTTGAGCTGAAAACAAAATGTTAAAGCTATTCAAGGAATGCAAGCTAAATTTGTGCCGTCTCAAGACCAGTGAGTTAACAGTTTTGCGAGGTTACAATGGGGTTTTCTCCACTCAGAGGACAGTGAGCTACATATTAGGAGGAATTCAACATTGGTCTAAGACTGGAAGGCAGTAGTGGATTACACCGTTTATCTTGGCCTGCTGAGCTCTGCTCCCATTTTCTGTCTTGACAACTGTTATGAATTTATCTGGATATGTTCCTCATCCATACCATCTACACAGTGAATTGAAGTATTTTTTGCGCAAGACAACTAACTTGTAAATATAACAGAGTTAATGTGCTTTTATAGTATACTATTCTTTGTCATGAAGGACTGCGGTGGATTTAGTCCAATGGAAAGTTTTGAGAGTACAAAGTTGACAAATGGCTGTATTTTGATCATTTCCTGACTGAAAATCAGGATATTCTCCTTCTGTCCAACTTCCTGTCACTGTTACTTTACTTCCTCTAGCTACTGGGCGTGCTCAATGGCAGCGTGACTTTTCTACATTTCATTTTAGAACCACAATGTTGATGATTATTGTCTTAGCAGACAATCTGGCTGATGGCAGCACAACCTTGGCCAGACAAGACTACTATAAAGGTGAGCATCCTGTACAGATTGTCCTAGCCACCTTTAACAAGACTATAGTCACTACCAATAGGATTCCTTAGTACGATTTCTGCCTGTCAGAATGCAGCTTTGTAACATTAGATGATTGTTGAGTCCAGGTGATTGATAGGCCTATACGAGTGGGGCTTACGTGACTGATAGGGGTGGGGCTAAGTTGAGTGGCAGGGATGTGATGTCAGGTAAGGGAAAGTTAAGCTACTGTAGTGGGGTGGCTCCAGCGCCTACCTGTTGTAAGGGTTCCTCAGCAGTAGGGCTTGGCTGCCTGCACAGCTGTCTGATGGGGTGTGACATCCATACACGGGTGGAGGGACAGGATACTGCTGCTCGCCTACATAAACAGACACATTAAACCGTTACTGTTCGTCTCAATTATCACCCACCAACTGAACACATTACAGATTGAGACTTGAAATAGTATCATGGGACAGTCCCAAGGATAAAAGACAGCTTCACAACTGCACTGGAAGTGAGTTCCCCGATTCATAGCTAACATGGCACTTTATTTCTCTCGACAACCTAGACGCACAACTATGAGAGAGTAACAATAGTAAAAATGGTTGTTTGAAGGTTAATTCTCTGGGCGTGAACAAACAAAATGTTTCAAATGAAGCACTTTGCTGTTCTACGAGTGACGTGGGTATTCGTCATAGAAAGAAGGATCACATTAGCTATAAAGCTTTCGGGGAACTCTGGTGGAACGGATCCTCCTCTGAGAAAAACTATCCTGAAATGGAAATTGTGAAAGAAACCTGTGAACTGTGGCCGAATATACACATATATACCTCTCTTCGCTACGCCGCTAGAGCGAGAGCGGAGAGGGAGAGGGCGAGGCGGCCGCGCGCGAGGAGAGCGAGAGCGAGGAAGACGAGGCGAGCGGAGCGAGGCGGCAGGAGTAGGCGCGCGAGGAGCGAGGTCAGAGAGAGGAGAGAGAGAGGAGAGAGAGAGGAGAGAAGAGAGGGAGAGAGAGAGGAGAGAGAGAGGAGGCGAGAGGGAGAGAGAGGAAGGCGAGGAGAGCGAGGAGCGAGGAGAGAGAGCGAGAGGACGAGAGAGAGAGAGCAGCGAGCGGGAGCGGAGAGGAGGGAGAGAGGCAGAGAGAGAGAAGAGAGGGAGCGAGAGAGAGGAGCGAGAGGAGAGAGGAGAGGGAGACGAGAGGGAGAGGAGCGGAGAGAGGAGAGAGGAGAGAGGAGGGAGAGGGAGGAGAGAGAGAGGAGAGAGGCAGAGAGGAGGAGGAGAGGAGAGAGGAGAGAGAGAGGAGCGAGGAGGAGAGGAGAGCGGAGAGGAAGCGAGAGAGAGAGCGCAGAGAGATAGGCGGACGAAGCGGATCGAGAGGATGATGATTGCTAGAGCGAAGATAGAGAAGGAAGCGACTCTTCTCTATCATCTAGCTTCTCTTCTTCTCTCCTATCTCTTCTCTCTTATCTCTTCTCTCTCTTCTCTTTTCTCCTCTCTCCTCTCTCTTCTCTTTCTTCTTCTTTGAAGCCATAAGGCACACTGACTCTTTTTGCTTTTTCAAAGTGCAAATGAAGGATCTCTGCTTTTCCTCTGCCTCCACGTATGAATGGGTCCCAGGGTAGTTTTAAACATTCCAAAAACCTTGTATCGCTGTTTCTTACAGTTATCATTTCCATAAAGAGAGTCCGAAATGTACAACATCACAGTAATAAAATCAACAACACACACATCCAGCTGTTTACTAACAAAAGGGCCATGGGTGAAGAAAAGGACCATGAAAAACCCAAGATGCTATTGATTTCGGACACTGACGTGAAGGTCACTGTAAGACTTAACCTCACAGTGACTTTAAGATGGAGGCCACTCCCTAGGTGAGGAGTACGGAGTTCACAATACACATGTGTTTACACACATACAGTACCAGTCAAAAGTTTGGACATACCTACTCATTCCAGAGTTTTTCTTTATTTTTACTATTTTCTACATTGTAGAATAATAGTGAAGACAGCAAAACTAAGAAATAACACATATGGAATCATGTAGTAACCAAAAAAGTGTTAAACAAATCAAAATATATTTGAGATTTGAGATTCTTCAAAGTAGCCACCATTTGCCTTGATGACAGCTTTGCACACTCTTGGCATTATCTCAACCAGCTTCATGAGGTAGTCTCCTGGAATGCATTTCAATTAACAGGTGTGCCTTGTTAAAAGATAATTTGTGGAATTTATTTGAGCCAATCAGTTGTGTTGTGACAAGGTAGGGGTGGTATACATTTGGTAAAAGACCAAGTCCATATTATGGCAAGAACAGCTCAAATAAGCAAAGAGAAACGACAATCTATCATTACTTTAAGACATGAAGGTCAGTCAATATGGAACATTTCAAGAACTTTGAAAGTTTCTTCAAGTGCAGTCGCAAAAACCATTAAGCGCTATGATGAAACTGTCTCTCATGAGGAACGCCACATGAAAGGAAGAACCAGAGTTACCTCTGCTGCAGAGGATAAGTTCATTAGAGTTAACTGCACCTCAGATTGCAGCCCAAATAAATGCTTCACAGAGTTCAAGGAACAGACACACCTCAACATCAACTGTTCAGAGGAGACTTTGTGAATCAGGCCTTCATGGTCGAATTGCTGCAAAGAAACCACTACTAAAGGATACCAATCAGAAGAATAGACTTGTTTTGGGCCAAGAAACACGAGCAATAGACATTAGACCGGTGGAAATCTGTCCAAATTTGAGATTTTTGGTTCCAACCGCCATGTCTTTGTGAGGCGCATAGTAGGTGACCGGATGATCTTTGCACGTGTGGTTCCCACCGTGAAGCATGGAGGAGGAGGTGTGATGGTGTGGGGGAGCTTTTCTGGTGACACTGTCTGTAATTTATTTAGAATTCAAGGCACACTTAGCATTCTGCAGCGATACACCATCCCATCTGGTTTGCGCTTGGTGGGACTATAATTTGCTTTACAATTACCCAAAACCCACCTCCAGGCTGTGTAAGGGCTATTTGACCAAGAAGGAGAGTGATGGAGTGCTGCATGAGATGACCTGGCCTCCACAATCACCCGACCTCAACCCAATTGAGATGGTTGAGTTGGACCGCAGAGTGAAGGAAAAGCAGCCAACAAGTGCTCAGCATATGTGGGAACTCCTTCAAGACTGTTGGAAAAGCATTCCAGGTGAAGCTGGTTGAGAGAATGCCAAGAGTGTGCAAAGCTGTTATCAAGGCAAAGGGTGGCTACCTTGAAAAATCTAAAAGATAAGATATATTTGTTTAACACTTTTTTGGTTACTACATGATTCCATATGTGTTATTTCAATGTTTTGATGTCTTCACTATTATTCTACAATGTAGAAAATAGTAAAAATAAAGAAAAACCCTGGAATGAGTAGGTGTGTCCAAACTTTTGACTGGTACTGTATATACTTGCATGAATGCTCGCACACACGCACACACACACTCACACACCCACACACACACACACACACACACACACACACACACACACACACACACACACACACACACACACACGCACATGCACACGCACGCGCACACACAAGCAGGAATCTAGGTGAGAATATTTTGATGTTTACCCATACTGGTCTGCTGAGCGAGGGAGTCTTCGTGTTTAAAGGAGTGGTTGGGGAACTGGGAAGAGTGGTGTGTGGGAGTGTGACCGTAATTTGTGGCGCCATCGAAAGCACTGTAACCTGTAAAGACAAAGAATAATGGTTTAGAAAAACGAAATGAATAATTTCAAGGTTTCAGACCATGGAAAGTAGGTACAAAGGTGTTTACATGTTAAAAGTTACTGTGTACATTCTGAGTTAGCTCATCTGTTAACATTCAGCACTTTAACCCTTTGTTCTGAATGGGTAGGTAAATTACCTTCCTCTTTCCCTCCTCAAACCTCAGTTGCCCCTGCGTTGGGGTGAGAGTGAAAGCATCCAGAGTGAAAACAAACTGTGGCAGGACACTGGAGGGCTGACACCAGGTTCAGGGCTTAATCATGCCTATGTCTGACCCAGGGTGGGGCACCAGTTCATCAATCACACACCAGCCAACACCGACGCAATTAATTACACACCACAGCAACTTTCACCAGCGCCCCAGCAGGGTTTACTCAAAACTCATTAAAGAGCTCTATTTGTCTTCCACTCATCTCTGTCTAACTGACTGAGGAGAGGAGGACAGGACTGATCCCCATAACAGTAGGCCTACATAGGGCTGGGTAGCCTCCTGGGCTGGTCTGGGTCACAGTGGGCATAGTGAAGGGCACTGCCCAGGCAGTTTGTGTGGTAGTGTCCTCACCTTAAACCAGTCTGCTTTACGCACTGCAGTGGAGTGGGATGTGAAGAAATACCAAATGCACATACGAGGTGACCAGAATTTTCTTCCATATATATATATATATATATATATATATATATATATATATTTATCATGCGCTGAATGTTAATTGTAATACTTTATTTGATGGTCTGCTTATTAACTTTTGCTAAAAATATTATGAATAATTCACAAGCCATTTATTACGAGGACCAGTACTCAAATGTAAATCACTGAACAACAGACGTATTACTTATTACTTACAGTATAGTATCTATGTAATAATACAATATAAAGAGTTTTTGCTGACTTCCAAAGAGTTAAAATATTACAGAATTGTGAATAGTCAACCCATAACCTAATCAATAGTCAGACGCAAAGCATCTAATTCTATAAATTAGTGCCTTCATCAATAACAACTAATTTCACAGTGACTCTATAGATATTAATCAACTTCAGAATCTGTATTTTCCCAGTAATTTCATTTAGATAATTGTCTCTTTTTTTATTGTTCATTTTGAAAAAGCAGGCCTAGAATTAGCCTACAAATCTTGAAATAAAATGTCAATAAATATTGTTATGCTTTTATAAATTATTACAGAATTTCCATGGATACATTTTTTTAAACCAGTATGGTAAATCAAGGGAAGTCAATTATAAAATTGTGCTACAGCTGGAAAATCAGAATGAAACTTAAAAACAATACTTTAATTAAAAAAACTAAACATAACAAAAAGGGTTCTGAAGGGTAATAAAATCATTTGAAGGGTAATGCAAATATTTGCAGTTTTTAATCATTCTGTACAAGGAAAGTCCCTACTATAATTCATTAACTATTATTTTTCTGATCTTCCATTCAAGTAAACTTCACACACACACACACACACACACACACACACACACACACACACACACACACACACACACACACACACACACACACACACACACACACACACACACACACACACACACACACGGAATTACACAAGTACAAGTACACTTTTATGACACAGACACTAATACACACATAATACCTGTCCTCACACTAACTCGTTTTGACTGTCTTGTTTCGCATGGTAACTGTAAACAGAGCATGAATCCAGTGGATATTCACTCAGTGACCATCATTGTATTAGTATCTAGTGAAAGTGACCCACATGAGCCTGAGCCATGCTTGTTTGCACCGCTTGGCCAGGCACAGAAGGGGTGTGATAAGTGGGTTGAAGGTTGGATGAGCCCTTTGATACTGATGTTATTTCTAATGAATCCTCCATTAAAAGTGTGGACTGATGAC